GGGCTATGGGTCAGTGAGGGGTGTCGTGTCTCATAGTGGGGCCGGGTCATGATACTCTTAAAACTTTCTTAAACCAGTTGAATCAGATGTTCTGAGAAGATGTTCTCACGTAATTTTTTTTCCTTAACTTGTGGGCTCCTCTACCTTTGAGTTCTATGGTTTGAGTTGGCGTACAAAAACACGTATGGTACATGAGAGCCCTCGTAATAAGAAGCAATCACTTTTGTATGATGGATTAATTTTTTGTCAATTTAAGTGTCAAAGGTGAAAATGTAAAGAAAAAAATTGAGATGATATGAAAGACAGTCTTGTCTGAACAATTAGAGAACGGGACTGGAAGTGTGAATTCTGTGCTTGCTGCTCTAAATCTCACGAAGACTCCTTCACTTGGTTAAAAAAGCCCCCTTGAGCATTCGGACTGGACAAGAAGATGGCACACCGTTCGGTGTAGCTGTGCTAGAAACCAGCCTTCCCGGGCCGGCCGGGGCTCGTAGCCCTTAGGGTGGACCCGCTGCAGGAGAGGCCAGGGTCCTCACACCCACAGTGTCAGTTTCACCGAAGTAGTGACACTCTCCCAAGAGAAAACAGGAAAACAGCCCCCACATAAAGAAATAAGACACGATTCTCATTTGACCAATTGAATGCCACTGATATATAATCTAAAGTTTGGTGGTTCAAACCCACCCACTGCTCTGAGAGAGAAAGATGAGGCTGCCTGTTCCCATAAAGCTTCGCCCCCTCGGAAATCTTTTCTTGAAAAATACTTAGCCAGCTACCGCCCGGGGCTTGATTCTGGGCCTGGACATGCTGGGGTCACCTTGAAGGTCTGACTGCAGAGTGGCTGGGCTTCAGGGCTGTTTGCAAGGCCCCCTCTGGCCTGTCTACATCCCCGGCTGTGTCCTTGGGCCTGGCTCCACAGTGTTATCTAGGACCACCCGGTGCCTCAGGGCTTCTAGAGAAAACAGGGCCCTGCAGGTGGTTGTGTCCGTATGACTGTCTGTGAGTTGGATCACTCAGAGTGCTGGTTCCCACAGTGCAACAGTACATGACTGGCTTCTGGGAGCCATTTTCAAAGCCAGGGTTGACTTTGAGGGAGTTGGGCATGTAGCTGACTCCAGGGGAAACGGCAGAGAGTGGGTGCTCTGGGACTGGCTACACGGTGGTGCCTAAGGCTCCACTGAACACTTCCACCCTCACTCCCTGAACCCCACCCCCCCTCTTCTCGCCATCACCTGCTGCTGGAGAGCAGACCTAACCCCTGACCCAGCTACAGCCTATTTACAGAGATTGCTAGTCAACAAGAGGAGCTCTGATGGCACGGCAGGTTACATGTGGGGCCGGTCACCGCAAGGTCAGCAGTTCAAAACCATCAGCCTCTCCTCGGGAGAAAGGTGAGACATCCTGAGCTACAGTCTCAGAAACCCACAGCGGTCATTCAACTCTGCCATGCAGAGTCACTGTGAGTCAGAAGCAACTCGTTGGCAGTGATTTTTTTTGTGAGCCAGGCAACAAGGAAAGCTGAGAAGGGCGCTCGATCGGCTGAGACACCACCCTCTGGTGCCCACTGCCCCAGGCAGCAGCCATCGCTAAGATGGTTGTACTTGTCTTCATGAATGTTCTCTGGTCTACTTTGTGGGGTTCTAATATCCATTGCAATGGCTGCACAGACAGCCACAGACCAAAACTCATGATTAAAGGGCTTATTAAAGAACTGAATCACGTGCAGTGCCAGTGAGAAATCCTCAGGGTAGGTGTTTACCAGGACCTGTTACAAAGTTTCAGGTCCGCTAATACCGCAAAGGGTGTATCACTGCTGTAAGCCTCAACCCGAAGAAATGCAAACTCAGGCTCTTTGAGCCAGCAAACCCAGCTCTCTGAATTAAGTGCCCAGAGGCACCCACTCCAGGAAGCCTCGGCGGGAAGGCACTCCGCTCCACTGCCGTGGGTCAGCACGTCCAGTGTCCCCCGTTAAGTGCCAGAAGCACCTACTCCACAAGCCAGCCTCCTGCACAAAGCACTCAGCTTTTTAAAAATTTTAATCATTTTACTGGGAGCGATTACAGCTCTTACCACAAGCCAGCCAGCCAGCCATTGTGTCAGGCACATTTGTACATTTGTTGCCATCATCATTTTAAAAACATTTTCTTTCTACTTGAGCCCTTGGTATCAGCTCATTTTCCCCCCTTCCCCACACTCCCTGCCTCATGAACCCTTGATAATTTATAATTTTCTTTTTCATGTCTTACACCAATTGGTGTCTTCCTTCACCCATTTTTCTTTTGTCCCTCTGGGAGGGAGTTATATGTAGGTCTTTGTGATCCATTCCCCTTTTCTCCCCTTCCCCTCCTGGTATCACTACTCTCATTATTGATCCTGAGGGATTTATCTGTGCTTCCATCTCTTATCGGTACCCATGTACATGCTCCAGTCTAGACGGGTTATAAGGTAGACTTGGAGTTATGATAGTAGGGAGGAGGGGAGCATTAAAGAACTAGAGGAAAGTTGTATGTTTCATCGGTGCTACAGTGCACCCTGACTGGCTCATCTCTGCCTTATGACCCCTCTGTAAGGGGATGTCCAGTTGTCTAAAGATGGGATTTGGGTCTCTACTCCGCACTCCCCCTCATTCACATTGATATGTTTTTTTTGTTCTGGATCTTTGATGCCTGATCTCTGATCCCATCGACACCTTGTGATCACGCAGGCTGGTGTGCTTCTTCCATGTGGGCTCTGTTGCTTCTCAGCTAGAGGGCCGCTGGTTTTATCCTCAAGCCTTTAAGAGCCCAGATGACAAAGCACTCATCCTAACTCGCTCCGTGGATAGGAAAGTCCATCGCCCTGCCCCACACTCTGGCTCCTGATTCTGTGGCTGCTCCTCTGACGTCAAAGCTGTCATCTGGATCCTGGATCCTGCTATCTCAGGGATCTCAGGTCCACAGGACAAGCTCCATTCTGGGCTCTTACTGGTAATGAGATCTGTCCTCCTGCTTGCTAGAGAGCTCATTTTATACACAACCAAATGTGTATAAAATCCTGTTTGCAATTAATTACTCACAGGTAAACCCTATCAGTATATTCCCCCACCTTTTTACCAGATCCACGCAGGGAATGGTCACTTGGTGGACGTTAGAGACTTTGGCTAGAAGCAGCCACATTCAATCATTGCTGGCCCCTTCAGTATGATGAGCAGCTGAAATCCCATTCACTTTGGCCACTCACAAACTTAGATATCAATGTCTCAAGCAAGCCTCTTATGTTTACTCATGACAATTCATGGCCTCAGTTGACTAAAACTACTCCTAAGTTTCACCAAGTAAGAGCACGCTAAAAGCTTCTTGTCGCCCAGGAGAAAGGGGAGTTAAACTTTCTTCTCTGTGCACTCAGAAACCCACGGGCATCACATCCATTCTGACTGACAGTGACTGGGTGAAACTAGCCCCTGTGGATTTCTGAAATTGTAACTTGTTGTGTGAGTAGAGAGCCTCATTTTGCTCCCAAGGAGAGGCTGGTGGTTTCAAACTGCAGACACTGTGGTTTACAGCCCAATGTGTCTAACCCACTGCACCACCAGAGGTGGCCCTCTATAAAAAATCCAAACCAGACTCACTGCCCTTGAGTGGGTTCTGACCCACAGGGACTCCTCTAAGATAGAGTAGAACTCCCCCCTGTGGGTTTCAGAGACTGAAACGCTTTATGGGAATAGAAAGACTCATCTTTCTCCCATCGAGCAGGCCTGTGCTTTCGAACTGCTGACCTTACGGTTAGCAGCCCAGCATGTAACCCACTACGCCATAGGAAATCTTGTTCTTTTCGACAGCGTGTGCGTGTGCTGTGCCCAAAAGGGGAGCAAATATCCAGGTCTTATTTGCTCAGCTCGTGCTTGGCTAATTTCTCTCTGTATTAAAGCAGGAGCTCCCTCTAGCAAGATGACTCTCTCGGGGGTCCCAGCCCACCTGGTCCCATCCCCACGGCGCTTGGCAAAACTACAGGCAGACGGACAGATGACAGAGCACCTCTCTGGAAGCCCCCCAAAGGCACCTGAAAGTCAGACCCTCGCCCAGAACCAGGAGTCAACTACGGAGGGGGAGACCCTGAAGGAAGAAGCCCTTCCCAGTAGTCAAGCCGACCCAGAACCCCCTCCACAGCACCCCAGCGAGTCGGGACTTGGGGCTCCCCACCTGGCCAGAGACTCAACCCCAGACCAGAAGGAAGAGGACACTCCACAGCCAGCTCCTTCCCCCAAAGGCAATGAGGTGCCACCTTCCCAGGTGAAAACCAGTGAGCCAGGGCCTTCTCCCACCAGCCTTCCCCAGGTGCCCGCACAGTCCAACCAGGATGAGGAGTCGGGGGAGGCCACAGTGGCCCCCAGCAGCCCACCCCCGCCTCCCAACGATTCTCAGAAACCTCCAAACGGGAAAAGCGCCAAAGCAAACGCTGTCCGAGTCAGCACCCCCTACCCAGAACTGCCGCATGCCCAAGGCTCGTCCACAGACACGAAGCAGACCCAGGACAGGGATGAGCCCGGGGCTTTGCGCCCAAAGGGCCAGCTGGCCCCCACCAGGCTGCCGCAGCCTCGGACCCTGGCTCCCCTGCAGAGCCCCAGGCCCACACCCAAGCTCCTGTCGCCCAGTAGGGAGGGCGGAACGGGCTCTGATCAAACCCGGACGCCCTCTCCCAGGCATGCGTCAGCTCAGGAAGGAGACAGCGGCAAGCTTCCTCCAATCAGCCCTTCCCAACCTAAGCACCCCCCAAACCGGAGCCCCAACTCAGCTCCCAACCCCCAGGCAGTTCAGGAAGAGGTGAGACTCCCACCCATCAGCCCGGCCAGCCAGGAGTCCGCCTCCCAGCACAGCCCCCAGGCGCCCCAGGACCCGGAGGCCCAGAAAGTCAAGCTGCCTCCGCTTTCCAACCCCTCAGAGCCAGCACCGCTCCAGGCCCAGGGAGCAGCTCAGCGGTTCACCACACCCACCAGGGAAAAGAAGAACACCCCCAGGAGGAAGATTCCAGACAAGCTGGCCTCCCCACAAAGCCAGGAGTCAACGGGGGCTAGAAAAAAAAAACTCCCTATCCCAAGAGAGACACCTAAAGGGTCCGACCATCTGAGGAAGGCCGCGCCTGGGGGTCGTCGGCTAGAATCCCATAGGAAGTACACTACCACAAAGGTGCCTGTCCGGCAGGACCCCAGCCCTCCCCGGAGCCCTGCGGAGAGCACGTCAGGAGAGGTCCAGGAAGGCCAGAGCGCCCCTGAACTACCGCTGGGGGAGCCTCTCTCCGGGGAGGCCCAAGAGCAAAGTGAGCCAGCCCCCCAACCCGGATCGAAGGCCCAGCTCAAAAGAAAGGAACCATTGCACAAGAGGGGCAGGCCTCTGAAGAGAGGCCAGGCTTCTGAGCCCCCCGAGCCCCAAGGCGAGGCCCCTGGCCCACTGCCTGCCACAGAGACACAAGCCCCCAAGGGGACTGACCTGACCAGGGAAGGCTCTGTCCATAGGGACAAGGCAGCTGCATCCCAGCAGCTGGCCAGAGAGAGAAGGACCCAGAAACGGGACCCAAGCCTGGCCGCTGCTCAGAGCCAGCTGCCCAATGAGAGTCAGGACATCAGAAGGGGACGCCTGCGAGCCAGGGGCAGCCAGAGCACCAAGATGTAGCCCCTCCCGGGCCCCTGAAGCCATGCTGATGCAGGACAGCGCCAGCCAGGCGCTGGAAGGCCCCTGGCAGAGAGAATTGGCAAGTCCTGGCCCATCCGGTGGCCACTGACCCCTTCCAAGCCTCGTATGTCAGAGAACAACTGAGTTCCTCTATGGGGCCTTCAGTGGGCGGCTCTTCACAAGTGGGTTGCCAGGCCTTTCTTCTGAGGCACGTCTTTTGGCGTGTTCAACAAGTGCCCCCATATGCTCCGCCCTGGAACTCCATGGGGTCTCAGACAGCAGAAGCTCTTGGCGGCTCCGCCCTCAGGACACAGTTGCAGCCAGCATCTTTCCGTGGTGTTCCCGGAGCAAATCCCAACTCCTCAGCATCACCTCCTCCACCCCGCAGCCCTGGCTGCCGAAGAAGTGCCACGTCACTGCCAAGTTTCATCCCACTGCCGAAAAAGTGCAAAATAAAAAGCCACTTCCCGACTCGAGGTCTCTTATTACGCCCGCGGCGTTACCTTGTCCATAAGCAGATCGCTCCCCTGTCCAAGGGTTCTGGCAGCTTGTGCAATCCCCCCCCGCCCCCGGACGTTCGTTGCTTCCGCTCACTCGCTATGCGATTTGCATGTGTGCGTTGTATGGGAAAAGACGGTCACAGGGCGCTCAGAATCGAGGAGCTCTGAGAAGGGCCGGCTTGGCTGTTCTGGGGCCGGTCACCCACGGACTCACCCACAACACGCTTCATTGTGGGACTCTGGGCGCCCTTGCTGTGTGTCAGGTTTGGGCACAGAACACCTGAGCTTCCTTGTGTTGGGCTTGCCTTTCAAAATAAACTGCTTTCTTCTCTCCGAAGAGGATCTCACGCGCATCGACCTGTTCTTTCAATATGCCTAGCTGGCCGGTGGCCCCCAAAAGAATTAGTGGGGAGAAAACTCAGGCACATCCGTTTTCCCATCTCTCTTGATAGCGTCAAGACAGGAGCCCACCTGGAGCCAGCTTCCATGAGCCCGCTCAGTGGGGCATGGACTGAACACAGCCGAGGTACAGCACAGGTGCAGCATAGGCAGACGGGTGGCTGGGCCTCCAGGGCTTGAGAACCAGACTGTCCATCACTTCCTGGACTTGTCACCTGGGCTGCCCCCACTTCAAGGCTTTTGTGACTTCTTGTCACCTCTTGGACCCTTGTCCCCTCCCGGGCTCCCATCATCTCCTGGACTTTTGTGACTTCTTAGCCCCTCCTGGGCTCCTGACAATTTCATGGCCTCCTGGACTCTCATCATGTTCTGTACCCCCATCACCTCCTGGACCCTTGTCTTGCGTCTGCTTATGTCTCGTCTGCTTTCCTGTGTGGGTTTCCTTCTTTTAACTGTAAAATACTATGCACCAGGGTCTGCACAGGGCAGGAAACACTGCCCTCGGGCTTCCATCTCTCAGCTTCTAGTGCAAACAAAAGGGAGTAACTCTTACGCGCCTGGTCTCTGCGGTTGGAAAAACCCAGGGAAAGTCTTTGATTGGCCCATCTTGGGTCAGGTGCTCATTCTTCAATGAATCCACTCCAACCACCAACTCATCACTGCCCTTGACGAGTCTATTCCGACTCACAGAGACCCTGTAGGACAAGTAGAACTCCTTCCCAGGACTTCTGAGACTGCACATCTTCATGGGAAGAGATGACCTCCTCCCCCTGGGAGCAGCTGGTGGGATCCAGGAGCTGACCTAGGAGTCGGCTGCTCTCCACACCCCCAGGGACAAGCCCACTGGACCCAGGCCTGTGTGGGATGGCTGCCTCCAAGAAAAGGGAGAATGGTGCCCCAAGACTCGGCTCTTCCAATGTGGCTGATTTATTGAACATCTACTGTGCATGCAGCCCACTGAGCTGTGTTTGGCATTGTGTATTAACAAATGGTAGTTGAGGACTAAGCTCCATTCTGTCTGTGCTGTTGTGGCCCGAGAGCCACCAGGTGACTTCCCCAGACACTGTCTGCTGGGGAGTCCAAAGCAAGTGTCTCCCCTGTACCCCCAATACGTGTCCATGGGCTTCACCTCTTACACAAAAGATTGGTTCCCCAAAAATGGTGTGTCTGTCAACCATCATTGCAAATACAGTAGAGAACATTGATTATTTTCAAAGCCCAAAATAATAAAACAATGCGCCAGGGCAATGCCGATAATCACCGTCTACTAGAGCTGCTTTGTTCAAGATGAAAAGCATTCACAGGAATGTTTTTGGGGTTTTCTCTTTCTCTTGAACACATTGTAATATAATTTTCACACACAGTCATTCTCTCAACTCACATTGCTGAGCACTTCCCATGTGTCTTACACTGTGATGTTTGCTAGATACACGGAGCTGATCAGGGACCCACACTTCTTATCAAGGAAGAGTCAGGGGAGAGGGCTCCCTGCAGCCCCCTGTGGTTAGGGCAGCCAGGGGTCCCACAGACCAGAAGCCCCACTTATCAACATCTCAACAATGCCCTCCAAACGCCAGCGAGGGGTAACAGTCTCAGCCCGGACGGAAGGAGGTGTTGGGTCTGGTCACACTTGCAGCTTCTGCAAAGTCTTCCACTTTGTCTAGGGCTGGTGGGCAAAGAAGGAGCCTTGGTGGGGTAGTGGTTATGCTTTGGGCTGCTAACCACAAAGTCAGCAGTTTGAAAACACCAGCCGCTCCATGAGAGAAAGGTGAGGCTCTCTGTTCCTGTAAGTAGCTACAGTCTGAGAAACCCGCAAGGGTGCCTTGGCCCTGTCCCACAGGGGCCTGTGAGTCAGAATGAACTCTTCGGCAGTGAGTTTGGTGGACGAGGAAGTACAGGGAGGCTGACCGCTCTGTGAGCCTCGGAAAGGCCATGTTGGATCCCCCAAAGTCAACAGCAGTGGGCTTTGTGTGAGTTGGTGGGGCCAAGAAGGCTTCTGGGAAGAGGGAGGAGTGCCTATCCCAGGCTGGAGGCTGGGGCTGTCAGGAACATCGCCTGGGGAGACTCATGTTAGGCGCTGCTGCAGGCTGATGCTACCAAGCCCACCCACTGCCACCCAGTCAATTCTGTGACCCTCTAAAGCAGCGGTTCTCAACCTATGGGTCACGGCCCCCTTAGGGGGGTTCTAATGACCGTTTCACAGGGGTCGCCCGATTCATAACAGTGGCAAAATGACAGTGATAAAGTAGTAACAAAAATAATTTTATGGTTGGGGGATTTCACCACAACACGAGAAACTGTATTAGAGGGTCGCGGCATGAGGAAGGTTGAGAGCCACTGCCGTAGAGGGTTTCTGAAACTAAAGCTTTCAGGGAGTTGACAGACTGCATCTTAACTCTTGTGGATTGCATCTTAACTCAAGGTGGGGTTCGAACTGCCCACCTTGTGGTTAGTGCCTCATTGGCAATGCCATCTAGGCTTCTTAGCCATGGGAAGACAGGCAGGTCTATGTAGAAACAAAAGGTCTAGGGCATTGAAGAGCTTGGGACCCTGTTCTGGGCAGTGGGAACCCATTGAATGCTGGAAGCTCCCGCAGGGTCTCGGTCACAGCTCCCAAATTTAGCTGACCCTTGTGGAGAATCCATTGGCGACCTACGGAGTCAGAATCTCTGCGGGGAGGAGCCAGGAGTCTGTGGGTGCACCAGGTGACTCCAATCAGCCATGTTTGGAAACCGAGGGTCTAGGTCACAGGTTCCCAAATGTATTTGACTTGCCACCCCCTTTTCACTTTCAGGAACATGGGGAAGGAGGACAGGCTATGAGGCAGGCGGAGAGGAAGTAGGGTAACTACTGCCTTCTCTGAGCTGTGCACAGGGTCACATGACAGATACCAGTCCCTCCCTTAGGTAAAGAACTGAGTTCCTTGGTGATCCTGAAGCCCCTCCTGGCATTTCGAGTTGCATTACCAAGAGGGCACCAGTGGAAAGGGCTCAGGCCCCAAGGGGCTACGAGGGTTTGTGCTGGGCTACTCATGGATAGGTGGGAGGGTGAAATCCACCCAGGAACTCCACAGCAGGACACCGCCCTCTTCTGGCGTGGGGGAGACTCAGACTTTCTGTCCCTGAGGCCCAGGATAGCAGAAGACATCTGTGTGTGTTTGGGGGCTTGTTTGGTGGCACCAATTTTGAGAGTGTCCTGCTTAAACTCTGTGGCCAGAGAACGTAGTAAAGCAGGTCACTGGCTCCTTGGACCGATGAGAGGTTTTTACTTCCCCTAGACAGCTAGCTTGGGGTTTTGTTTGCTTTTTTTCTCTTTTAATTGTGCACCATTTGATAAAAATCCCTAATGTAATGGCGCTGTGGGTCTCCAGCATGGGGCTGTTCACTGCAAGGTCAGTGGTTCAAGCCCATCAGCCACTCCACAGGCGGATGAGCAAGCAGTAGGCTGTTTGCTCCTGTAAAGATCTACTGTCTCTGGGAGTCACAGGGAGGCTGTGAGTCAGAATTGACTCTGTCCAGCGGGTGTGGTTCTTTGTTGTGTTTTGTTGATAGATGTAAAATGTAAACACTTGCCAATTGTCATTTTTCATCCACACTGAGAACGTCTGTGCCGCTTCTGTTTGGTACACTCCTCAGCAAACGGATGCTGAGAAGATGCATCCTCGGATGCACAGGATCACCGAGGAACTCAGTTCTTTACCTAAGGGAGGGACTGGTATCTGTCATGTGACCCTGTGCACAGCTCAGAACCTTCCCCACGGATGTTTAAGTGGGGAAGGCTCTGCGGATTTTAGTCACTGTGGATTTTAGCCAGGCAGCGCAAATGGTAAGCAAACGTTTGGGGGTTTGACTGCACCCAGCAGTGCCTTGGAAGAAAGGGCTGGCAATCTCTGGAAAGTCATGGTGCACGGTTCTACACGGAGACACGCAGGGTCACCATGAGCGCCACCGACTGCACAGCAGCTGGTTTGTTAGCTCAGCCTTCAGCTTCGTCAAAGGAGTGTGGTGCCTCAGACGCCAATCAAGAGAACATCGTTCTGCAGATCACGAGGGCCCATTCAAACAGGTCAAGAAGGACGTTCACGCTTTTAAACACATCAGG